TAGTGGGCCTCTGCAGACCTTGATGGCAAACTGAGAAGGTAAATCATCTATTTGAATCAGCTGTGTTGAAGCAGGGACAAATCTAAAACTTGCAGCAGGCCCTTGAGTTGGACATGCCTGCTGTATACTGTATATATATACATATATATTGGACGGGGGTGTTAAACAGAGAATCATCTTTTGCTTTAATATGGGGCAAACAAATGTTCTATAAACAGTGAATCTCACAGAGAGACTCAGCCTGCACGCACAGCGACGTGCTCCCATCACAGAAGTCTTTCATCAGGAGGAGAGTTGTCACTCACACAGAGTAGGACAGATCTGTTCGATAACAACATTCTGAACATATATTAAATATAAAGTTAGGTTTTACAGACCAAAGTCTCTGGTAGTCAGTTAACCTGTCAGCATCTAAGTTAGTTAACTTTCTGCGAAAGTTTTTAGATTTATTTATGATTTTTGACCATGACAGGCTGGTGTTAAACAGACCGAGGATCATTTTTCATCCAGTCTTCATGTATTCCCATTAATCATACATGCAGAGCATTGCAGTCTTTTCCTAGCTGAGAATGATCCTCCTGGGCTCTTTGTTCATCATGCCCTTCATTACTTTACTGATATTCTGCTGCAGATGTGCACCTACTGCACATTAAAGTAGCCTTATCAGCTGTTTGATGTAAAGAAATTCATTCACTTTTGATCTCAGAAATAAAGCTTTAATGCTTGCATCAACTTCAGCAAAGTCATCAGATTTTTTTTTATTTCTGTAACACAGTCAGTTTCTATAAATGGGATTAAAGTGGCTCGTCTGAATCTCCCTAATCAAGAACAGACTTCTTGTATCGCTCTGCTTCTTTGCCAGATCACTGTTGAGCTCAGAGTTGTGGCCAGCTCACTGTACAGCGTATAAATCAAACTTTCTCTGTTTTTGCTGACTTTTAATTCCTTCACTGCATTCACAMCCACATGTAGTATTTGGCAATTAATTCTGAATTGTCCATCTGKAAGATTAAATGTTGATTTTTCTCATTTTGTGGATCGTAAAATGTGCTTTTTAATAATCAGAGCTGCATGATTTGTTGGCAGAGTTATTAATTATTTTAATGTATGCTGAGAAAGCAAACCCATGTTAAGATGTTTGACGGGCAGAAACTAAAAAAAAATCTACATATGTATATTACATGAAAMACCAAATATTTTTTGCATGTTTTTATTTTTATCATAAGATGTTAAAATGAAAGTAATGTAGCTTTATTGAAAGGCGTGACAGCTCTAAGATGTTGGCCATTTTTAAACAAAAAATATTTCAAACATAAACAAACCAGTGGTTCCTAATTTTCTTTTTTCATCCTGTAAAACAGCAGCAGTGGAGACTAATGATCCCAACCATACCTAGTTTATGTACAAATATTACTCATAAAGAAGAGCAGAATGACAGCACAACAGCCTTAATTTTGGTGGTGCTATTTCCCCTTTGTAGCAACTATTGGAGAAAATGCGTAATTAACAGTGAATTTTAAAATTAATTTGAACYTTTGTACATGAGAGTGGCTTTGGGTCAAATGAGAAAGAGTTAAATCRGCGTGCTAGTGAATGCTCACCATATGAAAGTTAGATCATCAGTTATTTAAAAGATTCATATTTTTTTGATCGAGTAAAAGAAGTTGAGGATACYTGGAATATGCAGTGTCATGCACATGCAGAAATAATAACACCACATGTAGTAAAAAATACATAACATATGTGAAAGGTTGTAATTCTATAAGTTTCAGTTGTATTACAGGCTTCACATATGAATTATACTGTCTTTTTTTACAGTGAAAATGTCCCAAAACCACGTTTTCAATGTGCAAAACACACTTCACATGTTTCTTATTCGACGCTATTTTTGTACATGTGACTACAGGTGACACACATTTGATTTTCCACATGTAGTGTGGTTTTTCTGTAAGGGTTTGTAGATGAAAAGTTAATCTGTCAGGCCAAGATTGTATTTAATCCTAACCTTTCTTTTTTTAAGTATTTCTGAAATGACCGTCAGCCAACTGATCAAAAAATGAATCTAGCCAATGGCATCTCATGGCTTGTAGGAGACATTTACAGTGGTCGTTTTAAAGAAAGAATTCACGTCATTGGAATAAAAGTTGATTAGTGTCAGAGATTTAGCACCACACTGTGACAGTTTAAAGCAGGGGTGCCAAACTCATTTTCACCAAGGGTCTCGTGAGCATTAAGGTGGTCCTCAAAGTGTGTCGCAAACTCATTAAGTATGTCTGTAAATGTACAACTACTGTTTAAATGATGATGAATTACATTTTAATAGCCATAATTTATCAAAAGTGAAACTGAACCATGTAATATGCTTGGGGCGTTAGTAATATCATGAATGAATATTTCCTTTTGACAAAAATAGGTTGCCCAAAGGATGCAGGAAGTTTTTAAGAACCAAGCAAATATCTTAAGTCGAGTTGGATCTGTGGCTGTTTTTTTTTTTTGTTTGTTTTCTGTTTTTTGGTAGCTAACCAATCTTTACCCCTTTATTCCTGCAGGTTTCCACGGTGCCTCAGGAGAGACGAACTCTCCATTCAACTGTTCCTGAGGGAGCAGAGCTGCAGGCTGAGTGTCTGCTGGTCAGACAAGTAAGCAGTGTTATTTATGAGCATGTTTGACTCACTAACTGAAGCCGCTGTGGTTTAAAGGGGAAAAAGAAATATCCTGGTGGTAGATTTGTCAGTTTAGATCGTTCTTTATAAAGAGCTTCCTGATACCAAAGATGTGGTTTTATCATATCACCAAAACAACCTACGCTATGAGGTGTGAACATGTCAGGGTTCTTAATAGATCAAGCATCGTTTAGTGTTGAAAAGTAAAAACAGAAACATGTAGTAGTTTCCTTAAACAGTCATGGCTCACTGGAGACAAACATACTGTTTCTGCCTGTGTGTGTGCTCCCTTCAGTCTGTAGTTAAATCTAATGAAATGTTGACTATATTTATTGTGACATTGCTAAGAAATACACAATTTCATTTTGTGCAAAGACATAAAATGAAAACAGGTTTGAATACTGCCTTGAAGAAGCAGACAGGATGTGAAACTAGCCTGCAGCCACTGTGACTTCCACTGTACTGCACATGCCCTCAGAGAGCAGCGTCTCAAACAGACAACTAATCTCTGGAGATGTAAAGATGTCTTTTTCCGCAGGTTCTCTGGGGACTGAATCCTAATTTAGTTCTTTTCATTATTCAAACAAGCTAATGATAAGTCCCTGCCTGCACAGTCTTTTTATTTTAGCTGGCTTCATTCTGGGTGCATACGTTACTCGCTGCAGGCCCCTCATTTCCCCCCAAGAGGTGGCCTCTTATTCTAAAAGTTAATATTTATTTTTTATCTTCTTCTTCAGGCCTGCAAATATTACAACTCTGAGCTGAATGTGGTCCAGTTCAAGTATGACGACTATGCTGGAGACTATCGCCTGCTGCCCAGGTAACAGTACTYCAGTGCTTGTCTAATCTTTTTTAACTTTATTGAAATGAGCTTCTTGAGAGTCTGATGTTTCAAATGATTTAATATTAGCTTGGCTAATTGGATGGAAACATGGCTTCAGACTACTATGACCTTTTAAAACAAATTAAAACAACAGCAATCCATTATGGTCTTGGCCCTGCTTGGACTAGTATTTAGCTTTAGCAGTCATATTTTTACCCTTTTTTTTCAATCTGAGTTCATTCAATGTGCTCTCTACATCAGGTAAAATGTAGATTGTCCATAGCCTTTACACACTTGAAAAATATTTGAACTTTGGATCTATAATCAGATTATATTCAAGCATGTTTAGACATAACTATAAACTTTATTCAGATATAAAGCAATCGGTCCTTCTGAGATCCAAGAATTCATTTTTGTCCTCTTTCACTGACATTATTCTGAGACTTTTTGTTCGGTTTCGTTAAAGAGATCTCTAGCCAAAAGTGCATTACTCAGAAGTCAGACGAAGCTGAAACTAGAAGCTGAAACCTCAGAAAGGGGAATTTAATTGTTTAAGGACGCTAAATAGGAGCAAAAGGCTGACCTCTTATGTACATTGTTTTGTGCATGTTAACAAATGTTTTACCCCTCAACACTCGTGTTTTCCAGACATGCAAACCAATAGGGAATTGACGGACGTGCTGATTTGGCAAAAGCATTGTTCCATATGAATGATATGACAACCCACAAAACTGAACCAACATAGAGGATAAGCAGATTGTTAAACTTGACCTTGCTGTCATTTCTCCACCCTCATGCTGATCCTAATGACCTTTCAGATCTCACTATCCTGTTTTTAACACGTCATCCATCAGTTCAACACTCATTTAATTAGTCAGTGTCTGATTTAAATCAGACTGCCTGTCATTTAAGGGTTTTGTCTGGGCCAATGAGACCAGCCCAGAACAACTCTGCAGCCAAAGGAATGTCCCATGGGTTGCCACTGTATTCTTTCACTCTGTTCACATGACCTCTGCAATGACATCAGGAATGAACAGTAAAATAAAATGATGCTTAAACACACGTTAGAGCACGCCACTTAGACAGCTTCAGTTTATAAAGTTCAGAGGTCCTGTCATTTAAAATGTGGGAAGCGCGACTCTTGTACTGTTTGTTTCCTTTGGTGGTAAACTTGCTGTTTGCAAACAGATTTATGGGCCGAGCTGAAGTGAAATACAGTCTTGAAGCCGTCACACAACAGGGGAATTGCAGCTGCTTGTCACTGCTGTGATTTGAGTGGAGTGTCTTCCATTTTTGCCGAAATGTCAGTGGCCGGACCACAGTTACCACAGGCGTTTCCAAGCGTAGTCCAGCGAGATATTTTGTTGGACAGAGGGTTTTTTTTTTCTTTACGGCTTTTAAGAGAGGGAGAATCCAGTGTTTTCCTCTGCAGACTGCAGCCTCTCTGTCTGCACCTCACAYCACACACATAAAGACATTTTCTTCCTGAGCTTGCACACAAAGACGGGTCCATCTGTAAAAATCAGTGGAGCGGGATCGAGCAGGAGCCACCTATTGTTGACTCCTGACAGGGAGCGATGGAGCAGAGTCAGCRACCCCCACTGGCTGTTTGCTTCACTCTGATTGAACGCATTAATCAAACACTCATTCCTTTCTATGAGTACGTCATGATTGGATGGCCATATTTTAATAACTATTTGTTCTTTGGTCTTTCAAGAAAAATGTACAAAGCAGAGAAGCTGCCATCCCATTCCTTTGAGATCGACTACGAAGATGTGGATAAAGATGAGGTCGGTGATGACTGTAGTCTTTTCTGCTTGGTCCTAACTCTCTTATTTAAGCTCAGTTGCACAGCTAAAGCTGAAAACATGCTTTCTGGGCCCAATGTCTTCATTTACAAATCAAATGGTTCATGGAGTTCATTTTAGTGAGAAATGGCCAGACTGGAGTCTAGAACGTCTCCATCTGTATTGATCTGCTTCATTTGGCAATAAAAAATGAACAGAAAACATAGTTCACTTCTGACTAGATGTTTTTTTTTACAGGATACCACCTCTCTGTCCTCATCCAAAGGGGGAGGGGGCGGAGGAGGGGGTGCAGGTGGAGGAGGGATTGGCGTGTTTAAGTCAGGGTGGCTCTACAAAGGGAACTTCAACAGCACTGTCAACAACAGCATCACTGTCCGGGTGAGGGAACCCGTCTTYTCATCCTCATCCTCACATCGGTTCACACTCTGAAGTTTTGCCTGAGATTGGTTTTGATTAAGTGAACCACATTTTGTTTGCACAGTCATTCAAAAGGAGGTATTTCCAGCTGACCCAGCTGACAGATAACTCCTACATAATGAACTTCTACAAGGATGAAAAGATCTCTAAGGAACCCAAAGGTTGCATCTTCCTGGACTCGTGCACGGGTGTGGTACAGGTGGGTGTCACGTGGCAGCACCTAGACGAACCACAAAATGAACCACGKTCCSGTTGTTTTATCACGTTGTTCTGTGTTTTTATTTGTTCCTTAAAGAACAATCGCTTGAGGAAACACGCCTTTGAGCTGAAGATGAATGAGGTCACGACGTATTTCGTGCTGGCCGCGGAGACTGAGCAGGACATGGAGGAGTGGATCAGCACTTTAACGCGTATCTTACAGATCAGTCCGCATGACGGGCCGGCCCCTGACCGCAAGAGTTTGGACCTCACTGAGCATCGGCAGGGTAAGATGTTACAGTTTTCAGCAAAGGCTACCTATAATATGCATTGAGCTAGGAAGCTTGTAAGGTATTTTGTAACTGAGCTGAATTTTAGATACACACATATTTTATACTTTGTTATTGATTGTAATCATTTACTTTAAACAGAGAATCAACAAGTCAATTTGGTTTTAGTGTACATATCTAGAAGTTTCTTCTGTGTTTACTATGACATCATATCTGGYGTGTGACCAGGTTTTCTATAAACATTGTAACAGTATGTAACTTGGAGCTATTTTCCTGTGCCTCCGAATCAGGGGGCGGGTGTTCAGGAAATGGACCAGATCTATGTGTAGTAAACTCTGCATGTCTGTAAATAAATAAGTCTGAGATTTGGATCGATCTCCTGTGCATAATTTGGTCTCACTTTTGAACACGAGCTTTCAAGCTGAAAAAGGGTCTGAAATTCAAAAGAGCAAACTGCATTTGAAAAATGAAGAAAGGGGAAATTTGGCCTCATTCTTTGATTCCAACACATGGAAAACACATTGTGTTTTTCTGTTTAACTTGCTTTAACTAAATAATATTTATCAAGATGTAGATGTGATGGGGTTTTTTCATATTTAGGAAATGAAACCTGAAAGTGACTCCAGCTTTTTGTTTTGTACATCAGACCTAGTTACTATGCAGAAAAACCGAGGGGTATGTTAAAGGCCGAACATTTGGTTCCCCTTTCAGCCTGAAACCTAACATGACATACTGATGGAGCACTGTGAAAAGTGAAGGAATGATGTAATTCCCTTTGCCGTTATAGTTCTGTGGTTCTGTTAGCAGAGCTCTAAATCAAGCCTGCGGGTCTATGTTGACTTACCAATAATGACTCATTTTATTCAGCATGGCTTTTTGGGAGAATTGCTCCAGGCAACGAGAGGTATATTAACATGGTCTGCCCTCCTTAATACCCATAAATGCTGCAAATGGAGTCATTATTTATTCTTAGTTGGATATATGTCTGCTGGCCCTGGTCAGAAGGTATTTAGTTTACAGCTGAATGTAGTTAAGAGACTTTACTTGGATAACCTTTCTCATCCACTCAGCAGAGGAAGTTCTGATTGGGTTTTGTTCTCATTGCAGATGTGTTTGACTTGTCTCTGAGTGACTGCTGTTTGCAGGAAAATGATGAAACCACAGAAAATGGCATCAATCCAGAGCTGGCAAAGGTTGGTTAAATGAATTGAATTCACATAAAGTGTCAGAAAAGTAAGGTCTGACTGCTTTGTTTTATTGATGTAGCAGACTAAGGCAGGTTTTTCTTCAGTTATTTTTTCTGATGGTCTTCTTCCTGTCTCCCCAATGTCCATACTGTTACAGTATATCTCTGAAACTGATGAGAGAATTCGGTCTGCTAGAAGAGAAGAGCGTCTGAATCTGTTTTCTCTGGATCCTGACACTCCTGTAAATCTCCCTCTGTTATTTCCATTGAAACCACCATTATTGACTTAAAGCATTCTTGCACTTTATAATATATAAATTTGTCTTGAATTTAAAAATACAAAACAAATACACCCCTCAAAGTAAATTGTGTTTCTCGTACCACAGGTTCTGAGGAGCCCACGAACTGAACATTCGTTATCCGACAGCACACCGGTGCGTCCATTTGAAGAGAAGCTGGGCAGAAGGTTCATGATCACTTGCAAATCTCTCAATCTTATGCTGCAAGCGTGTGTCAACGAGAGTGAAACTGGACCAGTCACCAATGTGAGAATGAAATTGAAGAAGCAATCATCTGATATCAAATCAGGAACTGTCAAAGGATGGAGATTCTTAAGAATAATTTTGCTTTTTTTAGATCGAACCCTTCTTTGTATCGTTGGCTCTTTTTGATGTACGAGAAGGGAGAAAGGTTTCTGCAGACTTTCATGTGGACCTGAACCATGAAGCGGTGCGTCAGATGCTCGGAGGCTGCGCCAGCAAGACGGGGGCCCCAGGTACGGGGGTCGGAGCTCAGGAGAACGGCTTGTGCTCTCCTGCTGAGAAGAAGCCAGGTGACTGTCACCTCAGCCAGGACTTAGAGCAGTGGCTGTGTTTTCCCCATCAGGTGCAAGAAAGTTCCTTTGTCAATCCACTCATTTTACTTTGCTTTTATCCCGGTTGTAATATGTTTTTTTTTTTTTTTTTTTACCGGATTCCATGCAGGCCATTTTCTCGGTGACCAACCCCCATACAGAAATAGTCATGGTGGCAAAAGTAGAAAAGGTGCTGATGGGAAATATTGCATCTGGCACTGAACCTTATATCAAGAATGCGGACTCCAGCAAGGTCAAGAAGGTTTTTTTTTTTATTATTTAACTGTTTCATAACGGTGTTACATTTGTATTAAAATGGTTTAATTCAATTTTGCATATTTGTTCATATCTGTAACTGATAAAAACTAAGTAAAGCAGAGATTATCAAGAACATTTAGAGTCAATAGACCCTCTCAGAAGAACACATTGCTAAATGGCCCAACAGCCCAAAATGAATTGATGCTCCCTCTGGCAGTTCAGATGCCACAGAGGCATTCTCTGGCTGTGCTCAAATGCATTTTCAGAAAACATTCAGCAGTGCAGAATCAAGAGAGGTGTATAAAAAAACCTCAGCTCAGCTGTGATGTTCTCTGATGTGTTGCTGTCACTCAATCTGCTTTAGAGGAGTTTCAGAATGGCTCTTGCTCCTTATCATGTCACATAGATCAAAATACATCCAAGTGGGTCTTCGTCAGAGTTTAACTTTAAAAATAACTGAGTCTTACCACCATTGTATCTGTGCTGCTGCATACTTTTAGCCTGTCTTTGTGCCAGTAAAGTTTTTATTTATTTCCACCTCTACAGCAAGGAGCTTATGGGCCCCTGGGGAAAAAAAACAACAAAAAAACAGAAGGTTAAATCTGAAAGGAGTCTAGCAATGGTGGTTTGACTTAAGAAACCTGTGATAGGTTGGTCCCTGAAGGTGTCAGTCAGCACTACACCAGCCCACCTTTTTCAGAATAATGCGAGTAATGTTTCTGTCACTACCTCACACGGAGCTTAAGAGGTGCAACAAATGGGGGCCTCTCTGCTCCCGCTCTCCACCTCCTTGTGTCTTCTGAATTGGCCAAGGTGATCAGTACAGGGGCCAACAACATAAGGCGGCATCATCTGAAAGAGCCCAATAGAATTTAAGATGACCACCACAACTAAGTAACTTTAGCCAACACAAAATAGCTATAACTCAGTCAGTTTTACAGATGATGGCATCACAGTGGCTCAGTGGTTAGCACTGATGCCTCACTGCAAGAAGGTCCTGGGTTTGATCCCCAGTTCGGAGCTGTTTATTTTATTTTATTTATTTTTTTGGTGGAGGGTTTGCGTATTCTCCTCATGCTTGCGTAGGTTTTTTCCAGGTACTCTGGTTTCCCCCACCCCAAAAAACATATGTACAGTAGGTTGCCTTCAGGCTCAGGCCTCCCTTGAAAAAGAGATCTGTGATCTCAATGGGATTTGCCTGGATAAATAACAGTGAATAAATAAATAATGAGATAAATTTTGGTGTGTTAGCAGCTGGTAGTCATTTCCAACACATACAGTGGTTTGCAAAAGTATTCATACCCCTTGAACTTTTCCATATTTTGTCACATTACAACCACAAACATAAATATATTTCACTGGAATTTAATGTGAAAGACCAACACAAAGTGGTATACAATTGTGAAGTGGAAGCAAAATTTTACATGAATCAAAACATTTTTTACAAATAAAAAAACTGAAAAGTGCGATGTGCAAAAGTATTCAGCCCCCTTTTCCCTGAGTGCAACCAATTGCATTCAGAAGTTGCCTGATGACTGCTAATGACTCAAAAGGGTCCACCTGTGTGTAATCTAATCTCAGTACAAATACAGCTGCTCCGTGACGGCCTCAGATGTTGGTTAAGAGAATATTGGGGAGCAAACAGCATCATGAAGTCCAAAGAACACACCAGACAGGTTAGGAATATGGTTTTGGAGAAGTTTAAAGCAGGCTTAGGTTATAAAAAGATTTCCCAAGCTTTGAACATCTCKCGGAGCACTGTTCAATCCATCATCCGGAAATGGAAAGAGTATGGCACCACAGTAAACCTGCCAAGACAAGGCCGTCCACCTAAACTTACAGGCCGAACAAGGAGATCACTGATCAGAGAGGCAGCCAAGAGGCCCATGGTGACTCTGGATGAAATGCAGAGAGCCACAGCTCAGGTGGGGGAAACTGTCCACAGGACAACAATTAGTCGTGCACTACACAAATGTGGTCTTTATGGAAGAGTGGCAAGAAGAAAGCCATTGTTAAAAGAAAACCATAAGAAGTCCCGTTTGCAGTTTGCCAGAAGCCATGTTGAGGACACAGCAAACATGTGGAAGAAGGTGCTTTGGTCAGACGAGACCAAAATTGAACTTTTTGGCCACAATGCAAAACGCTATGTGTGGCGGAGAAAGAACACTGCACATCACTCTGAAAACACCATCCCCACTGTCAAATATGGTGGTGGCAGCATCATGCTCTGGGGGTGCTTCTCTTCAGCAGGGACCGGGAAGTTGGTCAAAGTTGATGGGAAGATGGATGGAGCCAAATACAGGGCAATCTTGGAAGAAAACCTGTTGGAGTCAGCAAAAGATTTGAGACTGGGGCGGAGGTTCACCTTCCAGCAGGACAACGACCCTAAACATAAAGCCAAAGCTACAATGGAGTGGTTTAAAAAAAAGAATATTCATGTGTTAGAATGGCCCAGTCAAAGTCCAGACCTAAACCCAATTGAGAATTTGTGGCAAGATCTCAAAACTGCTGTTCACAAACGCTCTCCATCCAATCTGACTGAGCTTGAGCTGTTTTGCAAGGAGGAATGGGCAAGAATTGCAGTCACTAGATGTGCAAAGCTGGTGGAGACATACCCTAAAAGACTTGCAGCTGTAATTGCAGCAAAAGGTGGCTCCACAAAGTATTGACTCAGGGGGGCTGAATAATTTTGCACATCYCACTTTTCAGTTTTTTATTTGTAAAAAATGTTTTGATTCATGTAAAATTTTGCTTCCACTTCACAATTGTATACCACTTTGTGTTGGTCTTTCACATTAAATTCCAGTGAAATATATTTATGTTTGTGGTTGTAATGTGACAAAATATGGAAAAGTTCAAGGGGTATGAATACTTTTGCAAACCACTGTACTCCAAACTCTAAAAGATTGCAGTGGGTTGTACCTATTTTTTTAATAATTGAATACTGTGAGAACCAAATTGAAAGATCTTGTGGCCTGATTGTGGCCAAGGAGCCACCAACTAACAACCACTTATTCATGGTGTCTTGTGTCTCAGAACAGGCTGTGAAACATAGCCCATAAAACATACTGTTAGAGGATTTATTTTAAGAAGAAATTGGCCTGATCTAATAAACTGTTCAGGCTGACATTTGCTAAATGGTTTTCCTGTAAAGCCAGGGTTTATCTTCTTCGCTGCATGCCAGGATAGTGCAGAAATTAGGTTTTTCCAAGATCCTGTCCAAGACGTTTTCTTGCCTTCCCTGCTGGCAGAGCTCCATGTGGTCCCTGTTTAAACAGCTAAGTGAATTAGCAGACATTCAACCTGCTGCCAGAGCTATCATGTTAAACAACCCCCTGATTCGGGCTGTCACTCTGTCAAGGTCTGATAGGATTTAGAGCTGATCGCATCCCATTGTATTCAGGAGTGTAAGCTTTGTTTTTGTTGTTAAAATTGCTTTTTGCCAACGCTCTTTGCTTTTGTTTTGAGCAGACTGTGCAGAAGACTTTAAAATCCAACAAACAGTTTTGCAGCAAGCTGGGAAAGTACCGTATGCCGTTTGCGTGGTCTGTCAGGTGAGTATCGTTGGGCCTGGTTGCCTTCATGGGTTATTGTCCTACTAAACAGTAATATTTGATGTGCCTATTTATCTTTCACAGGTCTGTATTCAAAGACAGCCATGGAGCGTTGGATCGAGACACTCGTTTCTCACCTCTTTTCAAGCAGGAGAGCAACAAAATTTCCACAGATGATCTAATAAAGTTGGTGACAGAGTATAGGAGGTAAGATGGCTTCTGTGTGAAGATTAGGTCTTAAAGGGATCCCCGGTCAATAAACTGTAAAATAAAGACTGTAAAAATACTGTAGGCTGTTTAGTTTTGTAAATTTATATATATATATATATA